GCAGTTCTCTTCAGTGTCTTTTCACTGACAGTGGCAGAGCTGGGTCAGCATTTCACATCCCATCCCCACACTTCAGATTCAGGGCTAAAGAAAGAGGAACGGAGTCAGAAACCACTCAGCAAAGCTTCGTACCAGAGCCCCAGCCCTGCTTTGCCAGGTCTCAGGCGCACCTGTGTGAGCTGTAAGACCCTCCCAAGTCCTGAATCTTGGACATTTTTCACCTTCCAGCTTTCATGGCAATCCATGCTCAGGTCCCACAGGCAGGTTTCAGGTTTTTCACCCCCAGGTCTGGTTTCATCCCTGTGTGCATTAGGAACGTGCCAGCTATGGCTGAGGGTTGAGCTGAGCTTACCTGGGCAGCTGAAGTTTGGAAGTGTCGCACTTTGGAGCACCCTGCAGCTGGCAGAGCATGTTGTTGATACCATTTTGGGCTGCACTTCCTAGGGATTTTTATTTTTAAAGCAGATTAAAATACAAAACCATCTTCATTAGTGACAGGTTGACTTTCATGGAGCTCCTCTATGGAACAGAACCCTGCTGACCCACTGCACTGCTGGCTGGGACCTCAGCTGAGCCAACTTGCCCCTATCTGTCCTGGGAGCCCAGTGCAGGCAGTGGGGAGGGCATTTTTCCACAGGGCTTCACCGATCCATGCTGACCGCTGGGGAATGCCAGGGCCAAGGTAGCTCAGTTTTGCAGCTGCCCCAGAGGCTCTGTCTTCCAGAGGTCACATCCCTGAATCCACATTATGTATTTTCTGCCCTAGCTCCTTGACCTAGCTCCACAGCAGCTTTCCTGTCCTTCTGCCTCTGCAACAGGCTCAGCAAATCCCAAAGCTCACCTGGCAGATGCCAGTGCAGCCTGGGCTCCTCAGACCCGAGCCCAGTTTCCTAGACTCCCTGGCCTAGAGCAGCATCACTGGGTACCTCCTTCTCAGTTTATTGCCTGGGAGGGCACTAGTTTCCCTTTTCCCTGGCTGCTCTCCCTCCCTTCCTACTGCCTTATTCTCTCTTGCAAGCCCCCACATCTTGTCCAGCCTGGCTCCTGTCCTCCTAGGATGCTGGCACAAGAGAAAAACAGTGATTCACCAGCATTTACATCCTCTGTCCTGGACAGGGACAAATCTCCCAGGAATGCCTCCATAGGGTCTCCAGCAAGGTACCCTACACCCTTTTACAGGCTCCTCTTCATAGGGCAGGCTGTGCTCTGGAAATGATGTGCCTAGGACAAGAAACCGGACCTGCACACGGGGAAAACAGATGCTTGGGAGAGCTGAAGCATCACCAGACTCCCCGATGCCCAGGCACACCACTGTGGACCCCAGGGCAACCAGCCCCTCATGCCTCAGCATCTTTCCCCAGTGCTCAGCCTAGCTGTGAGGCACTGGGCCGGTGGTGTGCCACTCCATGCTGGGGACTGAATCCAAAACATCCTTAAGTAGATGATTGCAAGAGAGCAGACTCGGCCCCTGTCATGGAGCCATTTAAGGCAGGAGATGGTCTCTGGGCATGGAAAAATTCAGCAGCTGGAGCTCCACCAGCCTCCCCCTGGAAAACATTCCTGTGGAGGGAGGGTTCAGCTCCAGGGTCACCAGGGAGAGCTGGGGGATCACTTGACAGAAATGAAGCCCAAGCATCCATAGCTGTGCTCACAGGCAGCTCCATCTGTGCCACTGCCCCAGGTCCATGGAGGGACCCAGCTCCATTGCAGCAGCCTGGGATACGCAGCACAACCTTTGCAGGCACCACTAGCTGCAGAGGCACGGTGAGGAGGACGGAGCCCACACTGTGAGGCAGCCTGCAAAGCTGCTGGTGCCATCACAGACCTACAGCTGGGACAGCCCTGTCCCCCATTGGGTGACGCTGGTGGGTTGCAGGGGAAGAGCCCCAGCCAAGGGCATGGAGCGGTGCAGGAGCTGCCCTCATCCGTGCAGCCTCAGGCAAGCTCAGACCCTAAGCAGGGTGTGCTGTTTCATTATTTCAAAGACTATGTCTGTAGCACAAGTGATATACCCACCCTGAGGAGAAGCAGATACACCTGGAGGCAGCTCTGAGTGCTTGGGGAGGGTACCATGCCACACATAGTTTGATATTCAAATATCTCCAGTGGAAGTCTACATCAGTCACAGCTGTTTCAGTCCTGGCCTGTCACCTTTTCCAGCCTTCCTTCCAAACAGCTTTAGAAGTGTACTCAAACATTCAGAGCCTGACAGACGCTAAACAGATCCACAGTGGGGTCCCCTTGCAAAGGGCAGGGGACAGCCAAGCCAGCATACACAGAGCTTGTACTGCCATGGACTCCAGCTCCTCATTCCTACATTTCAGCAGAGGGGCTCAAAGCACTCACCATCTTATAGCCTCTCCAGAGGCCAGTGGCACCTGGGGACACCTAATTGTGAGGTGAGGGAGGTATTGTTGTGTGGACTCCAGAGTGGGAATTAAGGTGTGCTCACAAACGGCTTTTGCATCCTTGACCTTAGATACTGCTCATACCTGCCAGGAGAGCCCCATCAGCCACGTAGCCCCAGGAGGGCTGAGGAGTGACTCCACGGTGCACATTCCCCTCTGACTGGCAGGAAAAGATGGGTGACGTGGCAAGTCCCGTGACCAGTCCCGCTAGGGCTGCTGTGCCGGCAGGCAAGTCATTTGCCTGCAGGCAAAGTCTGGGCCACCCAGGCAAGGCTGAGCTGCCCTTTGGACTGTGGGCAATGCACTCACACTTTGACAGCACACACTGTGCTGTCCCGTGGGGATGCAGTGCCAGTGCTGCAGTGGCAGCTGCTCCACGCCAGAGCCCATTGGGGTCTCCCAAGCACCAAGTGGGTACCAGGCCCATGGATCTTGGCACTGCATCAGCACTGCCAAGGGTGTGGAGCCAGCACCAGGGTGATCCCCTTGTCTGGTGGCTGAGCACCCCATGGGGGGATACGGCTCCTATGCTGGCATCTCCCAGAAGGGCTTTGCTTTGCCATGGCTGACATCATGCAGCACAGCTTGGGGATCCTGAGAGTCATGGACCAGCAGCAGTCTCCAGCCTCTCTCTGCCTCTAAGGGAAACTTTGGTGGCCACAGCAGAGGAGATTTCAAGGAGCACAAGAAGCACCCCTCGCCTCTGTTCTCTCCCCCTCCACTGAAGTTTCCAGGTGGACCTGACCACGTGAAGGCAGCATCATGTCCTAACCCCAGCCCAGCTGCTGTTCCTGGTCCCTAATGCAGCATGGCTGTGCACAAGAGCACAGCATTGCCCTGCTCCTCCCTGTGGGACGTCATGTCCCTCCACTCTGGCGGCCGTGGCACTTCTCACAGAGCAGGAGGGGTGTGCTGCCCTTCAGACGTTGCTCTTGCAGGCCCCTGCTTTACTTTGCAACTTTGGGAGAATGACAGTTTGTTCAAAATCTTGAGTTCCCGGATCCTGGGTTTCAAGGCAATGCCAGCAATTGCAGGGGCTGGCAGCATTCCCTGCCCCTGTAGGCACCAGCCTGTGTCCACGAAGGCATGCACACTGCTCTGTGCAAAGTGGGGGGACTGGAGCTTGTAGGTAGGGCAGCTAAAACTGGGTCCAGTTCCATCCTGGCTTGGAGGCAATGATATGGGACAGGAAGGTGGCACTTTTCAGATGTGGCTCAGCCTGAGGCCCCACTGAAGGCACACCATTAGTGTGGGAGTTACCTGCTGCTCTGCACGTACCTGGAGGAGGTGAGGTCCTGCTTGGAGAGTCCCCTGCAGCAGGCACTGGCTGGCTCCTGACCTAGTGAAGGGAAATATGTGGGGCCTGTGGGAATAAAACAACCACCACCTCTTTTGCCTGCTCCCGCTGTGACGGGATGCCCACAAACACCCCTCCCTGAAGCACAAACAGGGCAGTGTTTGGAGCTGCTCTATCCCCTGCTGAGGCCTCTCAGGTGAGGCCAAAGTAACCAGCTCTTCTGCAGGGAGCACCTCTCCGGGGCTGGGAAGGCTCTAACCTGAACACAAACACACACACACACACACACTTAGGGAAAATGCCTCTTGCCCCTGCAAATCACCCCCTCCCCCATCCCATTTTTCCCCAGTCCTGTTGCTGCATGCTAGCTCTGTCCCTTTGGTGAGGGTGACCAGTGCACCAGATGGGTGTTCATGGAGAGGTGCTACTCAGCCACTGCTCAACCAGGACTTCTCCTTTTCCTCCTCTGCTTCTTGAGGGTGCCAGCAGGCTCGGGGAGCAGAGCAGGACTGAGCTGTGAGCAGGCAGGAGCTGCAGGGGAAAGGTGACCCGTGCTTGTAGCATCACACCCACATTCCCCAACATGGGTGCTGGAGCCTGGTTTGGCCAGGAAAGCAGGTGCCTTGCTGGGCTGGGACAGGGAGTGGGGCTTGGGCCATGCTCTGGGGTTACTCACTGAGCAGCGAGGACAGTCACACACACACGCACAGAGAGTTCCAGGCCAAAGCCCACCAACTGGCTGTGCCCTTCTCGACGGCCGTTTAAGGATGGCACATTAGGGCTGCAGAGACGGTCCTGCGGTAGAGCCCCTTTGCCACGGTGCGAGGGCACAGCTGCTGCCGGGACCATGGCAGGGCCACACAGCCCAAACCAGCAAGGGGGAGCATCCTTCCTTCCATGGGCTGGCAGCTCCTCCTGCAGGTGCCCACCCAGCTGGCCGGGGGGGAGGACGGGACGGGGACGGGGACACAACACAGGCAGGAGCGAGGCAGCCGCAGGAGCACCTCCAGGCAAAATCCTGCGTGCAGGGTGAGGGCTGCGGCATTCAGGTTGGCCAGATCCTGGCACGGAGCTGGGGTCTCCACAGAACCCCCCAAAGCTGACTAAAGGGAAGAGCCTGCTTGCCTGGCGAGGGGAGTGCAGCCGCGGGGTGCCTGACAGTGCCCAGCGCTGCTGCTCCCTCCTCAACCCTTCTGCCCCGGCCCCCGGCCGCATCCCCGCCTGGCGCCGTCTGCTGGGGCCTCCCGCCGGCTGGTGGCGGCCCAGAGCGCCCGGCGTCCCTTGCGCCGCGGCCGGGGCGAGGCGGACGCGGTGGGACCGGGCCGGGGCCGGAGCAGGGGGACCTGTGTGTGGCGGCGGAGCCTCTCACAGCCACCTTCCCCGCCCGCCCGGGGAAATGGAGCCGGTTGCCGGGCGGCGGTGGCAGAAGGTGCTGTACGAGCGGCAGCCTTTCCCGGATAACTACGTGGACCAGCGGTTCCTGGAGGAGCTGCAGAAGAACGTGCACGCCCGCCAGTACCGGTACCAGGCCGTCGTCTTCCAGTCGGGAGTGGTGGCGCAGCAGCTGTGCAGCGTCTGCGTCTTCGTCGTCACCTGGTGGTACATGGACGCTGGGGTGCTGAGCCCGCAGGGGCTTTTCGGGGCGGCCCTGGTCTCCTCCCTTCTCGGCTATGTCCTCTTTGATGCCGTGGACGGCGGGGCTGGGCGATGGGAAAGCGGGAGGACACGGTGGGCTGACCTCAAGAGCACACTGGTGTTCACTGCTTTCACGTATGGCTTCTCTCCGGTGCTGAAGACGCTTACTGAGTCCATCAGCACTGACACCATCTATGCCATGTCAGCTCTCATGCTCCTTGGTCACCTCATCTTCTTTGACTATGGTGCCAATGCTGCCATTGTCTCCAGCACACTGTCCCTCAACATGGCCATCTTTGCCTCCGTGTGCCTGGCCTCCCGCCTGCCACGCTCCCTCCATGCCTTTGTGATGGTCACCTTTGCCATGCAGATCTTTGCCCTCTGGCCCATGCTGCAGAAGAAGCTGAAAGCCCTGACGCCTCGATGCTATGTGGGGGTGACGGTGTTCTTTGCGCTGGCAGCACTGGCGGGGCTGGCCACCATCTCCACTGTGGGCGCCGTGCTCTTCACCTCACTGCTGCTGGCCATCTGCGGCCTCTGCCCTTACTGCCTCATCCGCCTTCAGCTGCTCAAGGACAACATCCATGGGCCATGGGACGAGGCTGAAATCAAGGAGGACCTCTCCAGATTCCTCATGTAGGTCCCAGGGGGACCCTCTGCTGTGAGCAGTGCAAAGGTCCTTGCTGGGGGACAGCAGTGGGGGAGAAGGACACCTGTCCCAATAAAGCCTCTCACCCAATGAGGACCACGTTTGTGTTACCCTCAGCATCTGTTTCCAGACCTGACCTGCTTGGTTTTGGCAAAGGAAGTAGTTAACCCCGCAGAGCGGGCAGCCTGTGCAGGAGCTCAAAGGCAGGCAAGCAAAGCAAGGTGTGCTCCAGCCATGCAGACCCATACTTGCGCGTGGGAGTGGGGGTAGAGGAGGTGTGGGCATCCTCTGAGCAGACATGCCACTCAGAAACATTCATCTGACCCAGATACGCCCCACAGAATGCCCATGGAAGTCCTCAGCCCCAGGAACCTTGACTTGTGTGATGAAGACTGGCAGTGCTTCCCTGGGAGGGCTGAAGGAGAAGGGAGGTGGGTAAAGATTGCTGTGGGCAGAGCGGAGGTGCAGTGGTGAGTGCTGCTGGACCTGCAGGCCCAAGCACGAGGGCACTGGGATGGGTGGGTACTGATGCCAGAACCCTCACAACACTGCCAGACACCACATAACGTAAATCCTTCAGAAGAGGGAGGTGTGAGAGGGCAAGACACCTTCCTGCCGTTGTTAACCCCCTCCCAGAGGTGGATCTGGTCTTGCTGCAGAGCCAGACTCCGAGCCAAAGGGATGGAGCTCAGTGCACCCACCGGCTGGATGCCAGGCTGCCTAGGACACTGACGGGGCCCATTGCAGCCCGGTCCAGCACCGTCGGTCTAGCACCGTCTGTTCAGCACCACACACACCACAACAGAGGGCGCTCCAGGCAAACAAGTCCCGCTGGAGCTGGAGAGGCCAGGACAGCTTCCCTGAACTTCCCTCTCCCCGCTCCCATCAGGGACAGTCCCTTGGTTGCCAGGCCCAGGTCCGGCCGCAGCCAGCACCGCGAGCGAGATGAGGTGCACAGGCTTGCCCCAGCCCCACCACGCAAGGGTGCATTTGGCATTACCCGGGTTTCTGTGAAACCTCTCTTGGGGAAGCACAGCTCTGATTTACCCCATTCCTCAGCACTGGCATCTCACCTTAGCCAGCGCCGCTCCTTGCGCTTTCTCGGAAATGAGCAGTCCCCGGCGGAGTCCCCGACACCTCCAGTGCTTTGTTACGGCTCCTGCCAAGTGTTAAATATTGCTGTTGTCGTTACAGTGACGACTACATCTCACTTTGGTTTTAATTAAAGCCTGCGGAAGTTTAGAGCCCATGCTCCAGTCTCGCAGGGAGCGCAGAGCAGCCAGGTGCTCACAGTCCAGATGACATGTTGTAGTTCTGTGGAAAGAAAACTGTTTTCACAAGGTTTCCTGGGAAGCTGCTCAGTGACTGGGGTGTCTTATCGCGCACTAATGCCACTGTAACATCACAATCCAAGAGTTCACTCGTAGGGCAAGGCTGAAGTGTAAAGCAAAAGTAAATCAGATCTAGCCTGCCTGGTGCCTGTTGTTACTGTCTGTCACAATAGAGACTACAAGAAAGCAGAGTTTCTGCTGCACCCATTCCCCCAGGGAGAAATATTTTTCCTAAAAATATTCTTCCCAGAATCAGACTCTCAAAACCAGCTCTGGGTTAGGACATTCAACTGCCCGGACATTCCAGGTGGAGAAGGGCACAACTGCCACCATCACCTCAGCCACAGCTGAAGCCCAGTGGATCACCTGAGCAGATTCCTGCACTTCGATTGATGCAGCAGGCCCTGTGTGCCCAGCTCCAGGCAGGATGCAGGATGTGTTCTCTCCAGCCCACCATAGGCAGTTCCATCCCTGCCTGCAGCCCCAGGCCTCTTTGCTCTGTGCAGGTCCTTCCCTTCACCTTCTCCTTAGCCTGAGTCCTTGCCCAGAGATCCCTGGGGAAAGGCTTAGACCCACTTATCTTGCCCACACAGATACTCTGCTCTCCCTAACCTGGGGGATGAAAATACAAAACCCAGTCCATGGCTTGGATGCACAAAGGGACCTAGAAGGAGGGTAAGATGCCAGAGAGAGCCAGGGCCAGGAGAGGGGGGGACAAGAAGGCCAGGCAGAGTTTCACCTAGGACTTCTCTGACCTTTGCCTGGGGACACATACTCTGCAATGCCGCTGAACTTACAATGCTGAGTAAGTGGCCATTATGAGTATGTCTTCAAGCCTGAGCTTAGAATATTCTCTAGAACAAAACTTGGCCATAACTCTATGCCCAGCTCAGCAGTAAAGCTGGATGCCTTTTGCGCATTCGCTACCTGAGCCTAACATTTTGGGGTTTCTGTGCTGAAGCACACACTGAGACCAAAGAAATAGGTCCTTCTCAGTTTGTATACAAGCAGCTCATCATCAACCAGCTCCAAAGAGTTAAATGTTATTATGCATTATAAGGAGGTGCATTTTCTGTCTCTTAAGTTTCTAAGTCCACTGAGATTGAGTACTTCAAGGGGACATTTTCTTTAGATTCGAAGTTGGCCAAATGTGAGTAATTATAAATTGGCTGGGGGTAAGCTCTGCTCCTGGGGGAGCTGCTGACACGTGCTGCCTGGAATCTCCATCTACAGCCACTGCTGCAGGGAAAGGCAAGCATCAGCCAACCACAGTGTGCTGTGGAGGGCCTGTGTCCCTACCCACATGGGAGACTGGATCTGGGAAACCTGGAAAGAGTGAAGCTTTAGTCTTTGAAGGTAAGCCCTTTGCATCTCTTCAGTCTCGCAGTAATCACTAAGCTTTTCTCAGCTTTGTGATGCAAGAGGCAAGAGCAATGAAGTGAGCAATCAGGAAAGCAAAATAGGATTTTCATCCTAACCCATCCACTGAAAAGCAACCCAGGATGCATGATGCCACCAACTGGTGGGGCTGCCTTAGCCTTCTCTCTGTTGCCACAGAACATACACCACTGCAGGGTGGAAATAGCACAGACAAGGTTAAACAGCTTCGACAAAAAGTCATTCCATGAGCTGGTGCTAAAGAACGTGCCAGGCTTCCCAGCACACCAATACCTTTTTCTTTCCACTTACTAGATTTTAGGAATAGCTACCAGAAAATCATGAAGTTTGTAGTCCCATTTCCAACAATACTTTTTGTCATATACTTCACAAGAAGGTAAAGGTTTCTGTGAAAGGTTTAATGCTATTAAATACCCCAAGAAAGAAGTTTGTGCCTTACAGCCTAATGCATGGAGGCCAGCCGGCAGCTAGGAAGGCAGCAGCAGCTCCCAGTTGGGGTGCTGTAGGTAAGGCCATACAACTAAAACATCAGAAACCTTTTGTTGTTGGTTCATCTTGATGTCCCAGAGTGAATACAGTGAGAGCTTCCCCCAGTGTGGAACAGGTTTTTCTAACAACCTGGGAAAAAAGCAGCTTGTGAAATCCAGCCTGTTCCCATTCCCTCTTACCTGAGAGGTGAAGCAGTGCCAGAACCTCCTCAAGAGCTCACTCACTACAAACACTGTGACTTCTAAAGTAGTCCTGAAAAGACACAGTTCCTGAAATCTGCTGAGGTGGTTTTGCCTCTACCTGACAACAAGTCACAACAAGGAGCAACAAGTTCCACAGTTGAAAGATGTGGCCAGCCTGAGCTTCCCTCTTCATCTCCTACTCTTAGGACAGTTGTGTTCATGTGACTGCTAGGAGCCTCCATTTCTCCCTTTGGCCAGGGTGCTGAGAAGCACCTTGTGCATTATTGTACTTTTTCCAGCTCCAGTAATTCCCACTTTAGCACATATAGTTCAAGGGTCTAGCAGGAATGAACATTTACCTCCCTCTCCTAAGAATTGCTAGACTTGGGGTACTCCCCACTTATTGCTAACACCATTGTTGTTTCTTTTGTTGTAGTCTACCAAAAGACAAAGTCTGAGTAAGGAGAATAAAAAAATCTGTCTACAGCTCTCTGGGCTCCTTATAATTTGAGCAAATTCAGTGTCTGGTATTTACCAGCGCATACAGGTAGTTCAGCAACTCCCTGGATATTCAAGAAGTCAGCAGGGATATGAATCAGCTGGAACAAGAGGAATTGCCCAAATTCATCAAAGCTGTGTCAGAGCTGGCTTGAAACTGAGTACAGCCTGTGTGTTGTCAGGCTCCTGCTACATACACAATGCTGATCTCCTCCACTCTTCCTGCCACCATCCTCTAAATAGCACCAGTGCAGCTCTCTCTCCCCATGAACTTCATACTACAAAGGTAGGCCTTGTTTGTGCTCCTGAAACAACAGGTTGGAGTCCTGATGCTGTATTGTGCCTCCAGGTCCTTTGCAGTGCCTCAGTCAACATGAATCGTTTGTGAGATATCCCTTCTTTGTTTTAATGTGAGAAAATGTCGATAAAACCCATCAGTTTTCCATTTCTTTAGACTTCTCATAATAGTTTTCTAGCATCCAAACAAGCACATCTTCTAAATGTTAAATCCCAGAATTTATCTTTCCCATAGGGACAAACATTCAGAATCCCAGAGGTAGCTACTTACAGCTATTTGAGCTCAGATGCTCCACTGAGCTCAGCTTGCAAGGAATTCAGAGGTTTAACTTGGAAAAAACAATTGGTCAGAGCAGCTGTGACTTATTTATAAATGTGTGGATTTATCAGCCTGGAAATCGCTGCAATCTTCTCCTTTGACTTGCCACTCAGCCAGGTGCTGCCGCTGCTGTATTAGACATGTTTTAAGAGTGTTGTTGTTAAAGCAGCTGGCTATTCTTCCTGCTAACACTAAGCCAAAGCCATTTATATGGAGCAATCCTGGTGGTTAATGAATTCAGAAGCAGTGGTGGAATCCCAGCAGAACATCCCCCTCGATCACATTGGAGAGTGGGACTCTCCACAGAGCCCAGGCAATTTCTTCTGTGGGGTGTGAACGGCTGCATCTGAGAAAGAGTGGATAAACCCTTCAATGGAAAACCAGCGCACATTCATTTTGTAGTCAGAATTTTTATTTTCTTTATATCCAGGCTTGTCACTGACATCTGAAAATAAAATTTGTCATTTACAAACAGGTCAGTGCAATTTAAAAATAATTTTGTCCAATAAAAAAAAAAAAAATTGCACAGGAAAAAAGGATTGCACAAATTTTGTGTTAAGATGATCTTCCTGGAACAGCTGGCAGAGGTCGCCTAGGAAAAAGACAAAAATTAACCCTAAATTCATGGGAGGTGGGAAGGGGCAGAGAAGAGATTTTAGATCAAGATACAATAAAATTACTCATATGGAAGATTATCTTAATAAAATGGGTTAAGAGAAAAAGGCACAGAACATGCACATTAAGGAAAAGAGCAAGAGCAAGATTAGAATCAGCTGGCTATCAGCACAGCCTCAGCTTTCATCCTCACCGCTTCCCAGCTGACTCACTGGTGCCAGAGAAATGGGACAATTCACATCACGAGTGTGGAGGTCGCTGGTCACAGGCTTTCTGATTTTCTTGCAGCAAGTAATATCCTCTGAAAAAGCTTTTTCCTGGTCAACCTTAAAATTTGCACCACTGCTTCCGACACAGTTCTTGGAGTAGACCTTTTCTAAGTGAGATTCTGATGAAATCAGTAATCATCAAACAAGATGGCCTGTGGGCTGGATTGGGGTATCAGGGGGGGCCACTGCTGGGAAAGGTTAAAAACATGGGTGATGGTAGTGCAATGAATCTACTGCCAACCCTGTCAGGAGAGATCCTTGGCAGTTTTTGGCCCAGTGCAGCAGTTAGAGGAGAGTGGATGCTCCTCCTGTTACCCAGCTTACAGCACTGACATGTTGCTGACCAACATACCAAACTTGTACATACAGAGTATGTAACGTACTCCAGCCACATAGGACATGTCTGACTGCTGTTCACTGAGGGGGTGTGCACAGACTACCTCAGGCATAGCCATTAATGACTATTAAAAAATAATCTCCAAATGTTACCACAAATTACAACAAGCAAGTAAATACAATGGGATGTTTGCTGCTTTGTTGGTCCCACCTTTTGCACCCCCTTTCCCAAAACCTAAGGACTAACACAGTGACTGTTGTGCTCAGTGAAAAGTGTCCTCTCCAACAGGAAGCTGTTGTGCTTCTTGTGCCATACAAACCATCTCCTGTAAGCACCAACTCCAGTTACTTGGCTCAGACTGATCTGAAGGAGGAATTGAGTAACCAAGACATCTGCACATTCATACACAACCACTCCAAGGGGAAATCCCTTCCAGACATAACATGTACACATGCACATTTTTACTCCAGCTCTTGTTCTGGAGGACTCAGTCTGGCCTTCTCCTCAGCTCTGAATCTCCCCAAAACATGATTTTCCCAGCAATGAAATGGATACCAGGTACTACTTGCAAAACATTAATCAATTTCCCAACAAAATGTCTCTGCAGTACTCCAAGCCCCTTGCAGGGCAGTGGGCTGAATGCTTCCCATGGGTTATATACCTCCCTCTCCCCTTCTAATGACATGTCCAGTGATCTCAATACCGCACATATCTCTGATAGGCAGTCCTCACTGCAGACCCAACAGAGGCAGGGTGTGGCATGCCAAAATGTTAGTGTGAGAGACCGAAGACCACTCATGCACATCCAGAAAGTAATAATAAAAGCCCATCAAGAGTTACAGTTTATTTCAGGTTCAGAAATGCAGCTTAACATTTTTACAGCAGATGTATGTGATGGTCAATAATGACCATGAGTTCAGGAATCAACTTGTGCTCAAAGGTCAACACCAGGAACCATTTACAGATTATGAAACCAAAGGTGGATGTTTTTGGCTCATGTGAAGTAGGGCATTAACATACAGAACAAAATTCAGAAAGAAATGAAGCATTTGCTTCTTACAAAAAGCAGTCATCGCTTACACCATCCTGGAAAAGTAAAGAGACAGGCAGTAAAGCAAATGGCCGGCAAGACGGGGCAAATCATATATCAAGCAAGAGTGGAGGACTGTCTGGACGGGAGGAGCCATCGGTATCACCTCGCCTGCAGACAAAGCAAGAGGAAAGACAGGCAGAGTAACATTCATTTACACAAGGGAGCTGTTCTGCTAGAGCCTGGAGAGGAGGTTCAGTGCCACAGCAGGAGGAACTGTGCCATGAGCACACAGAGAGGTTGGACACCTCCCCAGTGTCACAGATAGAAAATAGGTCCGTTTTCAATTCAGGAGGTTTGTACTATTGTAACACAGAAAGACAGAACAAACCAGTAATCTCAATATGCTGTATACACATTGTTTAGTGTACCTAACTGTGATACAGTATTTTCTATGTTATACTTTAACACGAGATGTCATAACCTGTAATGTATCTCCTTTAATATAATAAATAATCTACTTCTATGAGGCTTACTCAGAAAGTGCAACAAGATCAGGAATAAAATAAACACATTAACTATGTACATAAGCCTTTTCATTGAACATACAATCTTTTTAATCCTACTGGAAGATCCCTTGACATCAAAGGCCAAGAGCTATTTACGGCATGTACAAGCTCTTCAGCTGTTGGTCAGCCATGATGAGGTAAGGTGGAACATGTTCTCCAGGCAGAGACCCAGGCTTAGCCTAAATGCAATACTAGATGAGCGCTCCCCTGAAACTTAGCTACGTACAGCACCCACCTAATTACATACCTCATGTAAGATCATGCTGTTGCTTAACAGGAGTCTTCACTACTCCATGGCAATCTTCTGAGCTTTGCCAGAGGGAAGCAAAGTAAGGGAGAGCAACCCATGCTTCTCAGATACGGGAGTTCAGGCTTAGCTCACCCTGCGTAAGGGGGACTGCAAAGGGGGCAGTGGCCAGTCTGAGGTAGCCAGTCCCTCTAGCAGACTCACACGGTGTTTGTCCTGCTGTCGTTTGGGCATGGAGCAAGTGCTGCCAAGGCCGCTCTGAGAACAAGGGATGGGAGACACATGACTTGCCAGCATGAAGAGGGAGAGGAACAAACCAAACCCTTCCAGAAGGAAATGGGCTGAGGCTAGGAGGACAGTACTTTTTCAACTGGAGGCGGCAATTTCTTGGGAATCACCTAGTATTTTTCCTAGAAAAAACAGTTCTGTGTAATTTATTCTGAAAAGTGTATATGCAAGAAGTTAGAGGTAAAATCATCAAACTGTGGATCTGTGCTCAAGGTTAATTACTAACTTGCACACCTAAAAGTACTCCATTAGGGCACAGGGCCAGATTTAGGTGTGATCTGAATAAGGATGCAGAGGAAGGGAGGGCTGTGCAGCTGTGTCCCACAGCCTCAACATCAGGTGCAGAACCAGGCCACAGGCACCTTACTGCCTCCTTCTCCTTCAGATGTGAATCCACCCTTGAAAGCTTCTTTTACAAGTCAGGATTACTGCTGAGAAATACAATTTCCTTGGGGGCAGTTAAGAATAGTGCTGAATTGTGCCACCTACTTCATTATGCTTGTCAGAAAGAGTCAACAAAGTAAATTAAGGAGTCTCAAGTACTTGGCTAGGATCTGTGTCATCTAACTGAAGCTCCTAATTTACCAACATTCCTATCCTCATCTCCAGTGCAGCCACACCTATCTGAATCACTTCTGGAGGTGATGCCTCTTTCCACTGTACAGAGGGGATCTTGGACAACTAAATTGAGTGCCTGGGGTATGGGTGGGATAAACCTGGACCATGGCCTTGCAGTATCACTGAATGAATATCAAAATCTGGGGTTAAAATGACTTTCTGTGACTGTGGCGCTAAGCCTGGCTTCTATCAGCAGGCAGCTGCCCGTCAGTAACAGAGAGTTCTGATAAACTATATACAGGTTTGCTGGCTAGACAACAGCAGGAACTGCTATAATTATTTATAAAAATACATCTAATAGATGCACTGCTTGTTACAGCAGACTGCTACACAGTGGAAAACTGTGTAGAAGGCAAGAAACATATGGGGGGATGTGTGTTTGGTAGTAAAAGTCAATAGGTTTGCAACTGTAGTGGGGTTTGCAACCTTTCTTTCTTTGAAAGCCGATTCTGTGTGTTTGGTGTTGGTGATGTGGGTCTGTTCTCCAAACAAACACAAGCCACTTAAGCAGTCTTCTGAGATCACCAAAATGCTGGTGCTCTGACAAAACTCCATCTTCACTGTGTTTCATATATTGACCTCTAGACTCCCCAGACGAGTGTTACAAGTATGAGCTTGACAGGAAATTAAATTTAAGCTAACATACAAATCATGGTGTTTTCCCAAGTTCATCTCTCTTACGCAAGCTGAAACATGATTTGCTTCAGTGGTGAGCACAGCTAATCAGCAGTCTGGGAATACTTAATAGGCTAAATCCCCATTCACTGTGGGTCTTTGATTAGATTCTTCCTAACCATGGGGCTACAGCATACTGGATCCCTACCTGCAGTCTCAATAAATAAATTTATTAGACTGATTATACTGGGGGCCTTTGAAACCACCAATTGCTTTGCCTAGGGATCTGTAACCATAATAACAGCAATTAATTATTTTCTGAAGCGACAAGGCCCAGTTAATCTCTAGTTTAATTTTGTTAACTCAGTAAGTTTTGAGCTGTAAGGGTGACACTGACCCTAACTGTTTAAAGTGAAGTAATGCAGTTAAGACAAAAGGTTTTTATAATGCATTAATATATAACATGCAAAACAACGGGCAGAGAGGACCTCTGCAAGTGAACGTGTGCTAAAATAATGCATTGCCAGGATACACAGCTAAGCAGCTGTAGTACCTATATGGATGAAGTGACCCTAATCTGAGGTGTGCAAGACTTCAAGTGATGCAAAGAGAAAAATCTTTATATAGGGGGCATAGTGGCACTTTACCAACTGGTGCGAGCAATATCTCAAATCCAAACCAGACCCTTGGAAAGCTCAGATGCCAATCTAGGCTGTAGCCCTGTGAATGGGTTCACACACTGGGCAGAGGAGCCTGTATACAGCTGTGCTGTGTTATATCATATATCATATCAGTATCTGTATCTCCTTCTGTTTCACAAAATGACCAAAAGCAACGCTCAGTTAGCTGGATCTTGCACTGCAGTACATTTATACATATTTCATACACGCGCCCCCAAGGCTTCCCATGAGTTCAGTGGGAGTATGAATGTGAGCAAGCACTAGCAGGGGCCAAAGCGAGCTGGCACACGCTGGTCTGTCATGTACTGGTTCTTCAAAACATCCTTTCATGTCTTTGCTGCAACACCACAGCCTGGCCATTATTAACCACCCAATCTATGTTGCATGTCAGCTGCCAATGTGGAAATAAAGTAAGACACGCGTTGTCCCATACACACAATTCTTGTTTAACACCACTCCTTAAAAACTAGACTTTGCATAAGGAGAAATTATAGGAGAAGCAGCCATCCAGCAAACTTCTTGCAGGAGAGACATGGAAGTGTGGGGCCTTCAGAAGAGCTTGGTAAGACTATATCACTTTTCTTTGCCCAGTTTAGACATTAAAAGAGAAAATGGATGTAACTGTGTAATTCCGAACAATAGAAAACCTGAAAGGTACAAATGAAAGCAAGATTCCTTTCAGAGAAGAGGGAAAAAAGAAGCAGGTCAAATCAACGCACACAAACACACACAAAGTCAAGCCCTCCATTTTCTGTACAGGACTGTGTGCATGGTTGCCTGGGTGAAGACGTGTCAGTAAGTTAGCTAACATCAGTTATTGCAAAAGGAACAGTCAAGGCAGCACAGACCTTCCCAAAACATTTAAGATCTCATAAACAATGCAGAATGGACAGAGAGTGTATCAGTAAAATTGGTTACTTGCCTATAGATGTCCATACATGCGACTATACACTGGTTATTGCAACAGTTACCAAGCAATTTGTTTCCACATATTTGGTTAACAATGAATGGCATGCCAGAAACTTCTTTTAGTCTAACAGGGATGAATCTAATGGACGAATTACAGTGGGCCGAGTTGGTGAAGGGGGTGGTCTTCGACTGGAGAGAAAGAGAGAAGAAACAATAAGCACAGACACTAAGAACAAACCTGGCACCTTTTGCTCTTGCTACATGAACATTCACGTGCTCCTAAACACAATGTTATTTCTGTGTACATTGAAGCGTGATAGCCCTAAGCACCCATAACAAGGCAGAAAGCAATGGGTTAGCCACATGCCTATCATGCCTTAGCCCTCTCATGCATCAAACAGCTCCTCTCTCTGCTCCACAGCCTGGGAGTTCTCCAAACAGTTCCATTCTTGTGTTGTGGACGCCATCAAGGGAGGATCAATAGTCCTGTTTTCTCAGGGGTCAGTCCAAGCCTGGACAGCCACAGAGCAGTTTTAAAATGTCAGAGTGGCCAGCTGGATTCCGGAAGAAAGCCCACAGCAGCTCCAGCTGCAGTTTGCAGAAGCAGAAAAACCTGCAGCTTCTTGCACAGTTGGACCAATTGGAGCCAAGCCAATGTGTCTGAATTTGAGGCACAAATTTTAAGGTTTATAGCAATGGCCAGCTGGCATTATGAAAATGCTAGTTTTGGCTGTGGATTCCTTCATTTACCACTAATGCATTCCTCTATCAACTTCAGTAACTAAGGGAGTCCCAGATTTTTTTTCAGAAGGCTTACGAGTCTTTATTCCCCTTTGCCAAATGGTCAATTCAACATAGGCTCCAGGGTACTGAAAACCCCTGCATTTCAATTTGGACTCCATCACCATCTGGTAAGAGACCACATAGTGAGAGCTAGCAGCAGCACGATCCCTGAGCACGTTCCACCTGCAGTCCAGGCTGAGACCTTCCCCTCCCTCGCTCTGTCCAAGGGAGTTGTAGATTGATTTTCCCTGGTAGCTATGAAATTTCCTTTTACATTTTTGTGTGTATTTAGGGAACCTGGTTCACATCAGTGCTGTGTGGAGGTAACTCCATCATCACAGTTACAAAGACTGCTTTATTAACATTCTATTCCACCTGGGCTAAAACACCCCACTGCTGACTGAAGCCCATGCAGAATCTGAGATGACAATACCCGTTTGGACTCCAGCGCCTGCGCTAGCTCAGACAGTTCTGTCCAGCGCTGCTTTGTGCTGTATAAATATACGTAGGAGACTGTTCTTCACAGCCAGCCTGCTCCTTTAGCTAGCTATCCAGCACCCTCTTGCAGGGTTTTGTTGTGCAATTATTCCAATCTATCTCTTAGAGTGCTTTTGTTCCCCATTTTCTTTCATGGGAAGTGCCAGCTCTCACTTTATTCCGTAACCCAGCCCAGATAACCACGAGAGTGCACAGCTGCTCTAAGAGAGGCATGAACATGGGGTCTAAACAAAATGGAGAGCTGAGAGCTCTTAATTTCTTATCCAGCTTCAGCAGACTACATTAATGGCCAAGACAAACTGTACAGCCCCCTCTAATGCTGTCCTCCACCTGTGAAAGTAGGAACAGCTCCTGTCCCTGAAGAAGAGCACAAAGGAAATGTGTCTCATTTTGTTAAAGCTAAATAGAAGATGAAAAGAATATAACAACGTGTTAATCATCTTTGAACTGAACATAATATATAAGACAAATTTACACTTGCCAAAAGCATTTTGCTTGGCTCAAAGTGCATCTTGTACAATATTCTCTGTTGGTGAAGAAAAGAGGATTTTAATCCCTACCATACAACAAATACAAAATATGCCAACTGAAGCATTCAAGTAAATCAACAAGCTAAAAAAATAGGCGAAGTATAATTTCTTCATGGTGTATTTTTCTTACAGAGAAAATGTTACTCTGTAAACTATTGTTTCCTGTGTTGCTCCAGTGTAGGTCTTCTGGACCCATTTCCAAAATCTGTAGTTTCATAAAGAACCACTTCTAAGGCTCTGCATTTCTGCTGGGTTGCATTAAATTATTCCTTTGTTGAAATGCCTCACATTGCATTGCTTAGTGCTTACTGAAAACATTGTATCATGTGTATACAATTTACAAACAAGGGAAAATGCATACAGCTGTCTTCATATCAAATTTAAAAGATATGAGCCCAAGCATTCATTTTACCAGGTTAAATGCAGCACACTGGATTCAAATAATGTAATTTAGTCAAACAGCTATTTAGCCCAGCAGGATCAGAAACTGGAGAGCACAGTGTATTTCCTGGTTATAATCAGTCAAACCAAACCTGAACCAAAATCAGGTCTGAGCCCCATTTCCTCCTTGAACCAGTGCTGTTGTTGCACTGAGAGCACTATTCTAAACAGGAAAATTCCCCAGCAGGCTCTCACTTCCACTCCAGAATACCACTTCAGGGGGTAGCTGATACCCCCTGGGGGCCCTCTCTGAGCAGGAGCTGCTGCCACTACAAGGGCCTGGGGTGCAGAGCCACCCTGCAGCCTTTCCCCTTCCCTGTGCAGCAGGCAGAGCTGGGCCAGCCCTGTTCTCCCCGTGGCACTGCCCAACAGGCGAGTCTGCCTAGCGAGGGGACCCCTCAGTCCAAGCTCTTCCCCACCATTTCACACTGTGAGCCAGCCTTCTGTTGGAGATGCACATGGGTACCTGGGATACTCTGCATACATGTGCTTGTGTATCTTCCCAGTAGGTTTGGGCAAGGATGTACATGAGGCATGGGCAGACCCCACCTTAGCTCCAGACACCCTCCTCTGCCCTCTTAGGTGTGCTGCTAGCTTCCATGCAGCTGCACGCTATTTCTTTCCAGCTCCTTAACCCAGCACAGCATGACTAGGTGAGCAAGACCTCTAGCTGGAAACAAAAGTGCCTTCCAGGGGAGTGGCAGATAGAAAAGGCAGCACTTGAGTAAAGACCTGCAAAAGCACCATTCACCTCCAGTCCTGCTTCTGCGTCTCCAAGGCTGTCTTCAGTTTCTCATGCTGGTAACATAGGAAGAGGAGCCATGCTCTCGAGTCCACGATCAGAGCACAGCACAGGGGTTCAGCTTGGGCAAGAGACCTCACCTTTATTAGCCACCAGCAGGTATCAACCAGCATCAACTGGGATGAGCAGAAGCTCAAGCCAAACTGAAAGACAAGCCTGTAAGTTGCCTGTCACTGGGTTTCCCTGTCAAGACGACAGGTCATTATGTGACTATTTTTACACTCAAGAGTAGCAGCCAGAGCTTTTCTTTTTTTTGGTCCCCTAACAGGAATCTCAACCCCAAAGACAAGAGGTGAGATCAATCAGCGCACCTCCTGCCTCTCCCCTCCTTTGTGTCTCGACCCATGGCGCAAGTGCTCCCTGTGAGCCTGGGCACCAAAACCAGCCACCTTGAGATAGCAGCACAGCTGGCAGCCAGCACCGGACTGCTCCTTGCAGATGTAGTCCCACCTTCCTCACTATGCCGGGCATCTCCGAAAAACGTAGAGCCGAGGGAGGCCCAGCGTGATTTCGGCACCATTGCTTTCTGAACAAAGGTTACATAAATGAACGCTGCCAGACCCTCCAAACGTGGAGTAACGCGGAGCAAATGGGCAGGAATCTCGGAGAACAGAGCGGCAGGGGGAGCTCCAGCCTGCCTGTGGACAGGAGCGAGGGAAAACCAGAGGAAAACAACCTCCCCCAGGTCCCTGCTCCGCACTAGCTGCCATGTCAGTGAGTAAATATGTGACTAAACCCAATTAAATGTTTAGTCTGAGGGCAGCAGATGATAGCGGTGGAGATGGCGGTTTTCTGTGGGTTATCGGACTGATTCTGACAGCCGCGGGTGCGTTTGCGGTGCTGAGCTGTTCCCAGGCCCCCAAAGACAGCTCCCAGTTCATAGAAAGCTCCTTATAAAAATGTCACTGCTGTGGTAATTCCAGTTCGGTTATTGTCGCCAACAGTTCAGCTGGACTTTCAAGTCTGGGGCTGAGCCCTGCTGCATGGCCGCTTTTAACGGGCAGCTCTGTTGCGGTTTGCCAGGTTGGGGGGGCTGGGGCGGGCTTTTGTGAGTTCGGTTTGTTGATGTTGTCTTTTTTGTTAAGAGAAAGGGAAACAGTGTTTGTAAAAGTCGGTGCTAAAGGGGCAGGGGATCATAGGTCCCCAGGGTTGAGTAAACGACTCTGCAGAAAGAATCAGTTCTTCTAACTAGCACACTTTAAGCAGACATGAAGAATTTACCAGTGAAAATTGTGGACTAAGTATTTAATAACTCCCTGATGTTGTTGCAGAGACTCCTCCTTTGAAGAGCTCAGTGGGGTTTTGAACAGAGGGTAACTCTTACCCTATGCAAAAACTTATTTAAAAAAGAGAAGTTTTACATTTATTTTTAACCCAAGTAGCATACTCTATTTTTCCAGTTTTAAAAGAACTCCAAAATCTTTCAACTAGGCAAATGCAGAGCAAACGAAACTAAATAAAGCAAGTCTAGACTTAAAATTTGATCAGAAGCGTACGGGAACTCTTCAAGCATTTGCCTTTTGAGAAGGGCTATCGCTCCCCACACAGAGTCCACAAAATATGCTTTCAGTAAAGCATGGCTGTAATTACCACAGGAGGCCCCGCTCAAAGAAAATGGCTTCTCTTCTCCGAGCACAGCTAACGTACTTGTAAATAAAAGGCTTTTATTTCCACTTCGTTTTACATTCTTGTGTGCTTGTGACCAGCAGAGAACACTTGTGGAAGGCATGCATATAACTGTATTTTACAATATATCCTATCGACCTGAAATTGTAAACAAAAGCCCATTATTCTCTCCGTTTTCCATGATTTTGGTTTCCCTATAATGCAGCCCTTTCGGAGTACCCTGATACACGACATTGTCTTTGCAGAATTTAATGAGAAAATAGTTAAACAAAATCCTAAGCAGCTTTAAGTGTGACTGCAGGCAAATTTTATTTTAAGTGACAATACAGATGTAGGTGTGATGCTTACAATAAGAAGATAAACAAGTGACTTCAGGTGAGGATTAAACACAGTTTCTTGTTTAGGTGACTATTTAGAGACATTAGGTAGTTCTTGGGATGGTGGTAATGCCTTATTTTATTTTTATGCAGTTTTCTCTGTTTCAGTAAGATCCTTAGACCCCAGGCAGCTTAGCTTTTACTTTTCCTGGTTCTTAGATCAATCTGTCTAACTTTTATATGGTAACTCCATCATTCTCTGGATTTGGAAGAAAATCCAAACCAGAAATGAAACTACCATAGCCATCATGGTTGAAGAGTAGAGGCAAAACATGGGGTTTAGGACTGATTAGTCTATAGTCTATGCATACTTAAAGCCCTTTCTGGCCTACTGCAGGTGCAGCGTGGCTACTCTGGAGTCTCACAAACATCAACTCAGGAGAAAGCATCTTGACTGGAAGTGGGAAAACTGAGAGAAGGAAAGGCACCTAATACTAGTGACACAGGTTATGCAAAAGTAGGAAAGGCAGAAAAAAGATGATGATATTAAGAGTTGGCTTAAACTATGACAGAGTAAAATGGGAATCACAGCCAAGAGTCAGGAGGAGATGATGATTATGGGAGAAATGAGAAACAGCACTCAGTGGTAATGAAAGGAAAAAGTTGTTGGGAAATACATGTGAGATGTTCCCTTCGCCAACATAACGGTTCAAGAGAGTGAATATATCTCAGTTTTGTTTCCATACTGAAAAATGTCATTCTATTAAACATAAAATATTTCTAGTAAGCATGCCCACAGGATTACTGTCTGCAGGTAAGTCAGGAACAGAAGCACTGAGGCACACAACACAGTATTTGAGGATGCATGCCAGTTCTGAAGTAGCTCTCCGGCAGAACACATACAGAGGATCAGGCTCTACAAATGCATAGAGGGTGTACTGTGACTGCACTGCCAGATACTTGCACAGCTATACATACAGCTGAACCTGACTATTTCAGATGACCCAGCTGTACAATACTCTCTCAGTGGAAGAATTTTTGTGTTAAGTGTAAGAAAGTTAAAATTATTAGTTTATGGTGTTTATCTGATACTTACTTCTTTTAAGTGAAAAAACCAAGAAAGTAAGAGTGAATGGGAAGAATGTGTCCTGCTGCTAGCCACCACTACATTGCACCAATAGAAATCTCCATTAATTAAAATGCTAACACTATTCCAAAGCATTAGGGTTACGGAGGTTCTACTATGCGTGACTTAATTTAATACAGATAATCCCTTTGAAGGCAAAGAAGTCCAAAATACCATGCTCCACTAGATTAATTTAGTATTTGCAAGTTGAGCTAGGTTTTCTGTATGACCATCATAAACTGATGTCTATCACACACACAAATATGCATGTATTTTTATGTGGGTGTTGCATTTTTGAATTAGTCATTTCAGGGAATTAATGTGCCATATGTAAACCTCAGCTTGAATAAACAAAAAAAATAATTCAATGGAGCGACCAAGAAAGAATGTTATTCTTAACAAACCGTGTGTTCTTGTTTGCCCTTCAGCAGGGAATGTGTGAAGTAGACAAGCATGCAGCACATTAGTGGAGGACTGTCCCAACCTTTCAGAAAACCTAGGTCAGGATTGCTAAGAGAATCAAAACTGTCCATGGAAGAAGAGAGTCAGGAGTGCTGTGTGATACATTCAGAATGCTGCTCTACCTTCTGCCCACAGAAGATGACAACAGAAGTGCAACAAAATCAGCAAGAGGAACACCTAATCTTTGCGTAGTAGCTCAAGTCTTATGTACTCAACAGTTCAGCTATATAGTTCAGTATCAATGTGACTCATGTAGCCTGTCTTTGAACGCATCTACTTCTGACCACTCTGGTTTTCCTTCCTACTCACCTTTGACCTTCTTCTCCCTTTTTGGCTCTCTCCTCTTTACTTACCTTGGTGCAAAAAAGGGAGGAAACATCCTGGTTGTCACCTCCAGCTGGAGCTGTACCTCTTCCTGTCCATGATGACAACTAACATGATTATCAGTATCAGTTCTTAGTGTAGCCATTGAGTGTCCTCATTCACTAATGATCCAATACAGCTTGCAGGGGACAGGAGAGTTTCAAGGAGATCTTTTCAAGATGCCTGCAGGTTCAGGAAGTTCAAATCATCACATCTGCTTTCCCTGTATTTACTGTCACACTTTTCTAGCATAAGGAAGGCTAGAAATCCACTGTTGTTCTGCCCACTCTTTCAGACAAGGCAAGAAATTGCTTGCTAAACACCCCTGCTCTAATCCTGCATAGCTTTCATGACAACTTTTATTAAACTACTCTGTTACGAAAGTAAATAATTACTGGGGACAAAACACATCTTTAAGTACCTATATTTGTTGCAAACAACATTTGCTATTGTTTGACTCTCCTTTTTCAAGTTGAGAGACACTAAAAATAAACACCACTTCCCTCCACTAACAGTATCTGGGGAGAGAAAAGATTAAGAAAATAAACAAACAAACAAAAAATCCCTTTTGCTGAAAATACCTAACAATAAATTACTTATACAGTTTACTAGCTGGCAGTCCCAAAGCAGGCGTCCACTGTGTTGGAGGACTGCACTCACATCATCATCTTTTTCCCAGAACCACCTTTTTCAGTTCTTTTGGTTCTTCTTTTTCTGTCCAACTCTCTCTTACATCATTTTTACTTTACATGGGACTGGTCTTCACTTAGAGTAATGAACACTTGTTTCTCAGCCTGATCCTCTTGCTGAACTTTGAAAGTAACTTGCAACGGTTCCAATCAAATAGATTTCTTCTAGTTCAGCTCATTTGTAAAAACTGTGGGGTTTGGGGTGGTTTGGGTTTGTTGGGTTTTTGGTTTGTTTTTGGTTTTTTTTTGTTTTGTTTTGTTTTGTTTTGGTTTTGTTTTTAATAAGGCAGAAGAAACTAGCTCAGGAACAATACTAAAGACAATCAAAACTTGTATTGAGATGCAATAAATGAGATCAAACCTAAACTCCATGTAGAACAAGTGACTCTTCAGATACCTTTGTTCAACTGTCAAATTGTACTGCCCACCAGAAAATTCCTAGGGAGAGAACTTGCTTCTGGCTGATGAAAGGAGATGCTGGTGGGAGTTAGAGTCAGTGGCAGCAGAGGTAGTACTTAGGCTGCAGTGTCTGACATCTCATGAACTTTGTTTTACTTCATCTTCCAGACAGTCATTTGGAGATGAGGTATATGAAGGAAGGCAGTGAACAAAATCCTAACGATAGTCTGGAAGAAAGCCATCCTTCTAGGGGCAGCAATCAGGGGAGCTCCTGATGCAGAAGTGGAGACCCTCATTTCACAGCCTTACAGTTCAGACAGTTGAAGAATCAGTTCTGTGCAAATGCTGTTCCCAATTTCTTGTAAGATTGGTATTGCAGAATTATAATGAAACCGTGAGAGTTGTATTGTGGTATTTCACATGTTTTTAAAACCTGCTGTAACCTGTTTTTTGACCCATCCCTCCAATATTCATCCTCATTCAGAATGCTGCTTCTTTCATGGCTTCTGTTAGGACTGAAGCTGCAAGATGAACCCCGGCAAGATGACCACTACCCCTCATCTGGTTTTGCACACGACGATATGGCTGTCCTAAGTAGTGTAGCTAGTGTTTCTAATGGTTGTCACAGCCACGGACACCAGGCTGCTGTTAAGAAAGACTGCCAAATACTGCATTTTATGGTTTGAAAACTGTTTGAAAAACTTTAAAAGAAGACAGAAATGCAAGGAGCAGGAGACAGATTTAAAAAGGTGGCAGAGAAAGGATAAATTGGAAAGAAACCAAGACAAGACAGAAGGAAAGGAGGGAATAAATGGGGAAGGGAGACAAATGTACTGAACAGGAAACCAAGTGAAGGGAGAAGGTGAAAGAGGAAGCAAACTGTATGGTCAAGAAAGGGACAGCGAGGGAAGGGCAGAAAAAAGGGAAAACAAAACAGTGCTAAAGGAGCCAGTGGAGGAGGGGAAAAAGCAGAGCTCCTTTCTAAAAGATAAGGGAAAATAAATGGAGTCTCCCACTTGAAGCAGCCAGCAGCAAAAGGAGCATACTACTTACTGGGTGTGCATTTCAACAAGAAATGTAAGTTTGACTGGTGAAATATTACACAGGGGTGTCTTCACCCAGGGGAGAAATCACAGAAAAAATAACTGATATTTTGGTAAGTCATGTGATTTTGGGTCCTTGGACAGGCAGGGTTGAAAACATACTGACTATGGAAGAGTGGTATCCCCTACTGTGATGGGCTCTGGCTTTGCATCACCCCTGCAGCTCTGTATTCTTTTTGACACAGACATGAAATGCAGAATTAAATTATTCTTTGGCTTTCCTTTTCCCCTGAAATTCAGCAAGATTTTGAAATCCCTCCACCTAATGCTCTCGTCTCTTTGCATGAAACACTCCTAATTGCTGATTATACTTTTTGAATATAACCTTCACTGAACATCCATTCAAAGAAGACCGATGGATGCTGCTGCTGGACAGAGCTGTGCTTTTGTACTTCGGTGTTCAGATTGAGATCATCCAACTCAGCATGCAGATGCTTTAAGGTGGCCACTTACCCTGCCAGAAGAGTTTGATGCAATGGCTGTTCAATTATTACTTATATTCCATTAAAAGATTTAGTTGTAAGCTTTTAAGTCTGCAAAGTCAAACTTTCAGAAGAGAAGAGATTCCCATGCTAAGGCAGGATAACCTTTCTGGCCTTGTATGCCTATGCACTATGACAGATTTTAATTAGAGGATCACATGGAATTTTTGCAAAGGATCCCCTTATCGTTCAGTGCACAGGGTTCGACATTACATAACATTTTCCAAAGAACTCTAATCCATAAAAATCCATCACGGAAAACTTCCTTAGTGTTGATATTTGGCAATTAGAGAGCTGAGTACAGAGCTTGTGGACTAGAAAATGTCAGGCAGTGATGCTTTCTGCAGCGCTTCTAACTTTGGAAATTTCTGACTGTAATTACCGTCAAGTGTAAGTGCTTTTTTGTCCTGGGTTGGCAGAAATATGTAATGATGGCTTACAACATAGATTAGTTACAAACACAACAGGTCATGTAATTAGCCTCAGTGGCATAATAAAACATAGCTGCATAGCAGCCATCAGCCCCTTCCACACTGGCTGGCTCTGGATTGAAGCAAACTGTAGGGTGAATATGGAACTGCTCATGAACAGCACATGAATTCTCTCCCCGCTGCCTGCCTCACATGTGAAGACCACTCTCAGCCCCCAGGGATAGAGCACCAGCACGGCTGAGGGTGAGACACAGGTGCTTAGGAGCGCTTATGTTCCTGCCTGCTTGAGTGAATGGTCCAGCCCTTTAAAGACCCCTATTTAATCCATCCCAGGATTCCACACTGTGTGAGAACATCCATGTTTTAATGACAAAGTGAGTAATAGTCTCCAGTGCTTTGTTGGGAAAGCCTTCATGAATCCACAGTATCATTGCAGAGCAGGACACAGAGAGAAAACGGGAGCATCCTCCCACCCCTACTAACACCATGGGCTCTGCTGCCAGGAGAAAAAACGTTTCCAATTCAATTGTTTTCCTTGTGGCAAAGCTGAGATTCTCATTCAGGACATTTAAAAGCCATAAATCAAAGCATCCACAGTAGAACTAAAATTGGTCAAGATCATAGAATCGTTTAGGTGGGAAAAGAACTTTAAGACCATCAAGTCCAACTGTTAACCTAGCACTGCCAAGTCCACCCCAGTATAAGCCAATATATTAACTGCAAAAGTTATTTAAGAAAACAAAAGTTGTCAATTAAGATAACATAAAATTAAATCTAGCAACACTATCTGTTTAGAGTTAATGTGTCTGATGAAAGTCTAATACTTAATTATGGAAAATGAAATAAGCATGAAAATGACAATTGAGCAGTATTCCCCTCTGATACATTCACAGAGCTGAGTACTAAAAAAAATCTTATTAATCCATGGAAATGATATATAGGTCAACTTAAAACAAACAAACAAAAAATCCAAACCAAACAGAAAGAACAGAGGCCAAATCTTAATTTAAATACACATTCAGGCATTTGCATCAGCAAAGATCAGGCTTTCCAAACAGGCAGGCAAACATACATCATGGTAAGCTAAAGTGGCTCTAGTGCCTGCTTAAAGCCATCTTACCGAAGCGAGTGCACAGCTGCATTTTCTTTCAAAATACTACTGCAGCCTTTTAAGAGAGAGGGGAATAATCTAAATTCTGGCAGCAGGGAATATTTCACAAATCATATATGCTTTGGCATCAAGCCCTTAAAGCCAGGGGCCTTTACTCACAGGCTTTGCTGGGAGAGATCCACCCATCTCAAGTGGGATTAATTAAAAGAGGCATGTATCATGCAAATAGTTTCTGTTTCCTCACAGAAGTATTCAGAGCACATAACCCAAAACAGCTTTAGAATCAGAGCGAAGCAAGGAAGAAAATTATTTCCTGCTCCCCTAACCATTTTCCTTTCCTTGTACAGTAAGCAAGAAACAATGAGAAAATGCCGAGAGCTCACCAGTTCTTTACAATTCTTTTGATTAAATGCTAATGGAACTGAGGAACAAAAAGGATTTGTTTAAAGGCAGGCTGTATCCCACTATAAAGTGCCCAATTCTCCAAATCAGACATGTGCTCAGCCACTGGCGGGAAAAGGACAGTCCAAGTTTTACTCCTGAAAATGATCTTTTTATCTTAAGGCAGAACAGGAAAAAATAGAAAGCTCGTATTTCTTCAGCATGTCAGGACTTTCAGCTCCACATGACAATGACGGGGGCTTCAATAAAAAGCTAGATGAACTTTAAAAATACAACTGTCTTCTCAGGAAGTTAAACTGTTTCCCTAGATATGAGAGATATGACACTTCAAGGAATCATTGCAGAAAATGGTGCTACAGCAGTCAGAGCATAGAGCCTTAGTTCAAAAAAAAGTCACAGAGAAAGCTCAGGTTTCCAGAACTCTTCCTCAAAACTATTTTTTTCCCTTTTTAATATCTCAGACCCGTTTTCTGACTCAATTTCCTATGATCCTGCAAAGGCTGTTATTAAAACCAGACCAAGCGTAGCAGAAATTCCAGGGCTCAAAAGAAACATTTAATAGGCACAGGAGCCGGCCACACTGTCCCCCTCAGGTGATTTCCCCTGCAGCCCCTTCCCTGGGATTTCCTCTGTTGGAGTTTAGTCAGCAGGAGAAACCTGAAGTTTCGGCAAAACGGCAAACCCTTCCTTCATTCTTAAGCAGCTGAGTTTTTTTTATGTCTGAAGCTTTCATAGCTGCAAAAAAAGAGAACTAGGATCCACTCCAGAAATGTGTATTGCAGGTATTTTTTCCACAAAAATGTCAAGCAGTCATACATTCAATCATATACCCAGCTACAGCAGTTTAAAAACACTGACCTCCTTTATCAGCCACTGCTTTGCATTCCACCAGTGGCAGTCCCAAACAGTTGTTTTCAGGCTGCTTACCCAAGAGTGTTTTGTGAGCTAGAAGATGCCTTTCTGGTCTTCATCCCACCTATCACTTTAGCTTCAGAAGATTATCCCCAGACATGCTTTTGGCAAACCAGCTCAGGAAGGCATTGTTCATGCAAAATCACAGCCAGGCAGGACAAAGGAGACATACTCATTTGCAAGGCAGGTGAGACAGACCAAGGGAGCTATGGTTCTCTCCAGTAGTACAACTGACAAAACACTGGACCTCATTTTCTGTATCTAGTCTGTGATCTATCCTGTGATGGCACAGGGGAAACACCAGTGCCAGTGCCCTTCAGCTCAGTCTGAGACTCTCCCAACAAGGGGATGCTGCTTGGACTTCTTCCCTTCCAGTGCAAAGTTGAGTACCCAGAAGGGCAATTCTAGGTTTCTCCCCAGCAGTCCTACTGCAAGCTGTTGGATATCCACTAAGATCAAAGAGTGTGTTTTGTGCAACAGTGGCTTTTTCATAGCACGTATGTAAAAAATACTTCATGTTTTGGTATACCTAATTTATTTATTGTTCATATCATAAAAAGAAATTACATTAAAACCACTGAACTTCAAATTTAAGTTACTGATAACTACAACAGATCTCACCTATTTAAAAGAAAGTTTTTCTCAAAGGGTCCTCATCTCATTTACCATTTCTAAAATGGAAAATGTGCACATTTTGTTTCTATTTAACTGGCCTTTTTTTTTTTTTAACTGTGACTAATTTTAATGTAAGAATTGATTTATTAAAAAATGGAGAAAATCCTTTGTTCCATCATTGCCTATTCTGTCCTTGCCTCTCATAATTTAAGAAGTTACCAAAGCCCTCAGAAGCAGGCTTTCACATATATATGTGTGTGTGTATGTATGTATGTGTGTATATATATGTGTATTATGTCATTGTGAAAACAAATATTAGCACATTTTATTCATAAAAAGCAGTTACTGCCACATGAAATTATAAAATATGCAAAGCCACTTTTAAAAGTACTGATAAATGCAAAGCCCTGGGAAGAAAAGGAAATGGTGTGGTTATGAAAATCCTATTCCTTAACTACTTGGTTAGTACCATATGATCTACACTGTTAGACAACTATGGACTGCTTTCAACTGGCTGTAAATTACTTGCCTGGTGGGATAAGAATCAGATTCCTATCAGTTTGTTCCACAGTCGTACAAGGACTGTTCTTGTTCTCTCCCAGAAAAGCCATTACCTCCTCTGGTGAGGACTCAGAATGGTAGGAGTTGTTGTACCGCTGCCATTCTTCTGGCGGAGGGGTAGGTGACCTCTCCCTGCATGAACCCCTACGTGGGTATTATACAACCAGAACAGGGGCTCTTAATATAACAAAATCTAGTGTCTTCAAACTGACTGATGGGAATTTCTTTTTTTTTCCTCCTTCATGAAAAAACTTACTCTCTTGAAAAACAAAAAAAATCATATTTGTGCTAAAAATTGTTTCCTCAAAATGCCTGTGCCTCTTTGCAGGGAATACCCAATTTTGCTTTCTTATAAGACTTGCTCAACAAACAGTGCTCAACTTTCCAACACAATGCAGAATCTGTCTGTTATGCTAGAGTGAGAGAACCATGCCCACCACCAGGAAGATTACATACTTACCTTGGGACACTGGGAGGAGCCCGGGTTGGTCGAGAGGGAACCTGGGGAGGTCCACCAAGAGCTTCACCACCACTTGGAAACTGAGGCAATGGTCCTGGGCGGAATGGGACTGGGGGAGCCCCCGACTGAGGGCCTGGAGATGGGATTGCAGGAGCAGGTCCTCGGCCGGATAAAGGTCTGGTTGGGGGGTTGCTTAATGTAGGCCTCCTTTGAGTTGAGGGACTTGGAGGAGGTGATCTAGTAAAATATCAGAAATTTAAAAAGCTCAGTAAGGTAATGGGTTTTTTTGTTTGGTTGATTGGGGTTTTTTTTTATTATTTTTAAACACAAAGCTTTTTTTATGCCTATGACAATTCCTTATCTTGGCATTTTCCTTTGTTGTTGGTGACAGAGCATCACATATGCTTAAGTCTCACATCTTTCCCACAGAGAGCGTGCTTTACAGTAGTCAGAAATAAACATGAGCAAAGAATCATAGAATAGTTAGGGTTGGAAAAGACCAAAGGATCATCTAGTTCCAACCCACTGCCATGGGCAGGGACACTTCACACTAAACCATGATACCCAGGGCTCTGCCCAGCCCAGCCTTGAACACTGCCAGGGATGGAGCATTCACAGCTTCCCTGGGCAAGCAAATGTAATGGATTTTAATACTAGAGTTCCAGTCATGTTAAGTGGATTTTCTAGCACACGGAGCCAGAGCTTGCAAGAAGAGGCTCTGTGGATGCATAATCGGGGTGACAAGCGGCTGCTATCTGAAGCATCAGACAAACTATAAATCCACAGGATGGTCTTCTACAAGGCAAATATTCTGTCTGTTTTCACATACATATCCATAGATATGTATATGTGGGAAAATTATTTATTTTCCCTCACTAATGTGATTAAAGACTTCAGGAGTATCTGTTCAGAAAGACAGGCAGGAGGGGACCTACCGATGCCAGCAATGTCTGCTGGTCCTAAATTTCATTGCAATCCAGATTTAAGGATCCTTACCTGCGGGCCTGCTGAAGCCAAGAGTCATCTACAGGAGGGGGTGCAGGGGTTGAGACAGTGCTAGTGCTAATATCACCAATGATTGCTAAGGCTTCCTTTAGTGCTTGGTACATGCGGAGCATTTCATCTCGCCTCTGTGCCTGTTCAGCCGACTCCTCCATTAGAGTGTTTTGGTCCTCAGAAGAGTATAAGTGAGCCAGGAGCTCTGCGTTGATAAATTCTTTCACCTATTTCGTCAGACAAAAAATACCCAACACCAAACAAATAAACAAAACAAAACCAACAAAAAAAGCCAAACCCTATTAAAAATACAATACTGAACAAATAAAGTGTGAGAGCCATGAAACCAGGAGACATACCTCAATTTAATCAGTTTCTTCTACTACCTTACAACAATTCTACTGGTTTTTGTTAGGTCAGATCAGTTTTTGTTAGGTCAGATCAGGGACTAAAATGCGCTGAACTCACTGGAAAAGGATGGACTGGACCTTTTAGTAGCTGCCTGCACACAGATGGGCTTAACGCAATTAGGAGGCTGTATTCTGAGACAACGACTCACATGTGAGGATATGATGGCTTTGTGCAGTCACTTCACAAGGCACTGCAGCCTGTTTTTTTGTAACTGTCTTTGAAGCACTGGACATGGTGGGAGTTGACACTGGTCTACCTCTCTATGGTGACACGTTTACAGTTAATTTCAAACAGGCTTCCCAACAGTGCCTAGGAGTCAGCTGGCATTTTGGTCCAATTTTAAATGGCTGAGAGGTAAATAGCAGCCATCTATGATCAGCAATACCATCAGATACTAAATTCCCCTGGAAATGGGAATTTTCAGGCTTTATAACATCCCTGTCAATTATTTTCTTAGCAACAATTTACCCTACTGTAGAGGGTGTCTTTCATCTACAACAACTTTGTCAGATTATAAATATCCCATCCACATGCTTTCAAACTGAAGGGAGAAGTCTCCAAGTAATCTAATTTACTATATTGATTTTCTGCTGTGCTCTCCTGGTTATGGAAACCTGGGCCACATTAACAGAGATAAAAAGCTAGAGGTATTCTGATTGAGTAAGACTGTAGTAAGTATACCAACTGCTGACCTACTAAATCCTTGCATTTGAGACTTTCATTGCTGTTCTGATCTATTTCTCATCTGGCTTTTTGCTCTATAAAGCTTCTTTGAGCTGGAGATACTAGCGATAATACATTCCCAAGATCCTGATTATATAAGCCTGAGCTCTGTTTGCCCGTCTTTGTGCTAGTTCAGCAACACAGATTTAAATCCTGACAGTTAGACTAAGGCAATGTTTTTGTTCAGACAAGGTCAGTAAGAGCAGTCAGACTGTGTGGGCATGGGACCCTTTACGGTCACCCAGCATGAAAAGAGGGCCAGGACAGAATTTACAGGGAACTAAAACCATATTGCTGGGCTTGGCTGTCATTTCCCATTCATGTATGACAGGAGATGCACAAATTCTTAGCAAAGCCTGCAAAAATTTTCCATGAGTCTCATGCTGTTTTCCAGTAGATGGTACTGATCAAGAGCCAGAGTACACTACTTTCCTCATGATTGCCAAAAACTCCACATTAAAAACAGATATCATAGTTAAACAGCATCACATTCTACTTGATGAAATGAGCATTTTAATGGCATCACTTCAAAAAAAAGAAGTCCTAAAATTAGATTAAGGCCAGAGCTGATTGTAAAAGCATTGTTAAACCACAAATATCTGTTTGAAAAAATCAGCCTGTGACAATTATCATGAGAGATTCCTGTCTGCCACTAGCAGGAACACTTGTGGAAGGGTTAGACTGCTGCGTTAAGGACGGTTCTTGGATCAACCTCTTGCCTTCTGCAAGCAGATGCACTGTAATAGACAGAGGAAGATCTTCCATAATAGCTACTTTCTCTATTGTCTCCAGCTTGGAAAAGGAAGGGAAACTGACACTTATTCACACCTTTGCTTTTTTCTAGGAAAGGACTGACAGGAATGGTTTAAAACATTTGCCTTTGCAGACATCAGACCTGCAGTCAAAGCCAAACCATTGCAAGGATCTGAAACACTAATGCCACAAGGCCAGTCCTGTCACACTGAAGTGGGGTAAGGTGGGCTTGCAGCTTCGTTCTTCAGTGGGCAGGCTACAACATATATCACTGCCTCAAATGCAAACACAACCCATTCCTTTACCTTAAGTTTGGCAGTAGCAAGTACTTGGGAGTTTTTCTACTCAGCTGAGATTGGTATCAGCACTGCTTACGGAGTATAACACACTGTCTGCTGTAAGACCACCCCTCATGAATAATCTGCAATACCTAGGCACCATGAAATATAAATTCTGAAATGCGTGTTTTGGTTTTGCATGTTTGAATTGCTAATGGTAACTCAATGCAGCTCTGTGTGGTAAATGTATTTTCTTTTAAGGTAATCAACATCCACCCTAAGGGAAGAATAATGGATGCATTTGAAATACAACAATTTAGGCTTAGGCCTCAAAATATGCTTAGGGACAGCATCTAATTATTTTCTGTACACTGAGTTTGAATCTGATACTTCCCTGGAATTATAAGTGCTCATTTGCAGGCCCACAAAGTGGAAAGGAAGTTCTAGCAGGACTTGGGAGGTTACAATTGTCATGGAAACAAACTCCTTGGGATCAGTTTCTTTCCAGAGTTTTGGAGGCAACATGATGGGGCAGCAGAAAGTTCAGAATATGCTCATTAAGGGGGAAAAAGGGGGAGAGAGGAGGGGTGTTTTTACATAGCTCCTGGTGAATGGGTTGGACTTCTGAAGACTCCAAGGAACACACACACAACTTAACAGGACCCACCTTCTGTCACAGCTCCATTGCTTTCCAGGTCTTTGTACAGCCTTTTGGCATGGCTCAGCAGACTTAATTCAAGCATTTCTTTCTCTGTTTAATTGTGCTGATTTTTTAAAGATTTGATATTTAGCTGTTGTAAAATACGGTATTTTACTGGCTATGCTGCACAGAAAGAAGCGCACTCATGCTTCTGGTGTCGCTCTTCACAGACTTTTAAAATGTTCTGGGTCTCTGCCACAAATTTAAATTCTAGGATTGAAGTGCAGGTCTTAGCTCACTTGCAAGCCCAAACACAGCTATGGACTATGAGGTCAACTGAAAGGTGGATGATGTTTTAAGTCAGTTGGTTTTGTGTGCCATGGTCATCCAGCCTGGCAGACTTTACCGGTGTAACTAGCAATATTCTGCTTCTGAGTAGAGCGCACTCTTCAGAGACCCTTAAACTACTCCATATGAGGAGGTGAGTGGCAGAAAATTTAGTGTAAACTTTCAAAAGGAACTACTTGCCAAACTGCAGTTTATGAAATACGAGCTAAAAGCCAGGCCTTTCAGAAGGCACTGGAGTTGTGCTAAGTCAAAGCAGCAAGTTCCTAGCTGTGATCTGGAAAGAGCAGAGCGAACACAAACACCCTATAAAGTCTAGAGCATGGCTGATTTCGGGAAAAAAAAGGACACTTCCGTTGTTCTCATGCTCTTTTGTAAAAAATCACCCACAAGTAGAGCATTATTTAGAGCCTGACTCCCCTACACCTAAAGAAGTTAATAGGATATCTCTTGCCCTCATGCAAAAATTCTGCTTTTAGTATATGTACCAGGAAATCCCATTGAAATTTCCAGTCCAAGCAGCTAACACTTTAAGTACAACACAAATTCCACAGGGCTAATGAAATCCATCAGATGAAGGCTAGATTGCTCTGAGTAGAAAGGAAATGCTACTTTTTAGCCAGATTTGCTGTATAGTATATTGTAATTGTAAAGACTGATTGGTTTGATGACCTCACAGAAAAGGTGCTACCCATAACTAATGAGAGCTGTGCTCCCCATTAGAAATTTATATGTCAGCAGTGGCACCAATACCGAGTTTAGTTTTCAGTAAGGGCAGAAACTCTGATTCTGACTCTGCCAGAAACTGGCAGAACTCTGAAAGAAAGCGAGGCCTGATATCCTCATGCGGTGAAAAACCAATGATCTCAAAACCATTTCTTTAACCAAATAATCTTCAGATCTAAGAGACACGCACAGAGTAAATCAACCAACCACATCTGCTTATCTAAGCAGCAGTGTCCAAAGCTTCTAAATTTATCCCTTGAAAATGGTAACCTGAAAATATAAAGAAACCCAAATAAAATAAGAACTGTTTTGAGAAACCATGACAAAGGACTGCAAACTGTATATCAAGGAAGTACAACTCTGCTCTCATGATTTCAAGGACTGCCTAAATGGAGCTCCCAACTCCCTTTTCTGTTATATCAAAAGCAAGACAGAAAAAAACCTGACCCAAAACCCAAAACCCACCAAGCCCAAAGATCATTGATTTACCTTTAAATAATAACATATATTCTGATTCAGATGTAAATTAACTGCATCATTAGCATTTTGGAGTAAGCACTCCAAGCAGTGTTTCAGCCTCTGAGAAGGCTGCAGAACTTCCTACTACTGTGGAATATTGGAGTATTTTGTCTAAGAGTGCGACATCTATGGGAGTGTGTTCTGTTTAGTACATGCTGTTGTTGCTGCTCTATTCACGAGGTATGTTTCAGAGTAAGGAATTTGACAGACATGATAAAATAATTTAGAACCCTGGCTGCTACTTACGTTATTGATCATAAGGTGCATGATTGTTTTCGGTATCAAGTCGCGGATACATTTGTTGATAATTGACATGTAGGAGTCCACAAGATTTCGAATTGTCTCCACCTGTCTCTCCAGCTGGGGGTCCATTGAAAAATTGTCCGCTTGGCCGTTCTCATCGTTTTCAGTCTACATAGAAGAAAAAAAGTCAACTCTTTCAGACTGCAGTAAACTGGAAATATACTGGGGGGGAAATGGACTTAAACTGTAGTAATCCAGCAACATAAACCACACGAAGAATGTCTGGAGGTTAAAATATGAAGTACTGGCCTCTTTAACATTAATGTTTACCATCATGAAATTTGGGCCTTAAAGGTTAATGCAATACAAGATACAAGACCTTTTTCACAAATTACATTATATATTTCCACACAAATTTGTAATTTTATATGAAAGAAAGTCTTCAGACAGAGAATGAAAATAAAACCCCAAGAAATGTCTCACATCACTTGCTATATTATTTATTATAAAATCTTTTACCATTTAGATTCAGACAGCTTGACTTACGCAAGGAAAGAAGCACTGCAAGTCTGGATTTTGAATTTTACCCTCCTATGGGTAAAACCCATTCTTGTTACCTAAGGCTGACTCAGTTGTGACAAATTCCACAGTTCAGCCTCAAACTTGTTAGATGTGAATAGCACCTATATAAACAAAGGATTTATGAAGGATAAGCTACAAAAGCATCACTGGTTCCAGTGCTGAAGGCTCAGCGTAACATCGGCTGGATTATATATTAGAGATCTCTTCTTCATAGGACAGAAAATTACTTCTTTGTATGTAAACAGTTGACCTAATTAAAGAAAATACCAGGAACTAACTGAAGTCTAAAAGGTATGTACCTTGCTTTGATCTGGCCTGTATAAATATGAGAAAACCTAAAAATATAGTAGGAGCTTTTTGGTAAAAAATCAAACTGCTCTCTGAGGCTCAAATATGCCAAAATAATGGAATTTCAACCTGGAAAGTACAAAGAACAATGTTCTTTCCCAAAACATTGACATTTAATACTTTTTCCTGAAAATAACCACCAAAGCCATATTAGCATTAACAGTAAAATATAAACCTGTTCTCTTGGTACCTAGAAGCATAACATGAAGAAACGGAAAATACTTGAAAAAGTGAATTAACCGTTAACAAGAACTAGTTATATACCAGTGAGATCCCTGGCAGCACAACTCCATTTACGCTATAGCGTTTAGCTAAAATTTGCACATCACTAGTGCTTTACAGATTCCCAGAGCAGTTGAGATTAGTAGCTAATCCATTAGTGAAAGACTGTGAGAGCTAGATATGCAAATATATCACCAAAGAGGCTCCTCCTTGCATGAAATGCATTCTTGCTGGGCCAAAAAGAGATTCCTAGTTTTATCTCCTAATACAGGGTGTGTTTCTGCCCAGGCAGCATTGGCAGGTAGACCACTTTGCATTTTACTCCTTGTAATCTATGCCTTGGTCAATCCAGTCTAAATGAAATGGCGATGGCTGTAATTTGTTAAGAAGTAAGATCTGATGTACCATTTAGAAACAAAACTAAATATATTTAGCAAAGTTTCCGAAGTTCAGATTGCTTTTTATTACAGAAAAATTACTGGAAAACCATCTAATCTTTAAAAATAATTAGAAGTGCTACCTAAAAATCTTGGAACTGCAGAGGACACTCAGAGAACTCTGGATGGAAAAATAGTGTTTTCAGTTCTGTAACATCGGTAGACACACTACCGTATAAACCTTACTCATTTCATTAATAAACTGCATATGCCAAAAAGTCACAGCAGGCAGATTGACTGTTTTCCTTAGCCTCCATGTCTGAAAAGAAACTAATTTTCCCTGTGAAATACCAAATAAATGGAATATCACACATCTGTCATTTATCTACAGATTTTAGCCAAGTACTGCAGACTGAAAATGCCCCTTCCTAGTTCCCCTGCATTTGACGTCTCTTTCTTTTCTTCTTCTTTGTCTATATAAAGTACAGTTTGTCCATGTACTTTTTTTTCTTCACTGTTTAAATTACAGATTGCAATAGGATTCTTAGCTGGCTAAGCAGCAAAGTGACAGATGTTTATCATTATCCTCATCAAGAGAATGTAAAGTAAAAATAGTAATTTGTCTGATCTTTAAGGCAAAGGGTAATAGTCTCTTGTTTGAAACTGTAATAGAGCTGACTTCATACTGTTGATTTATTTTCTCTGAAATCAAAAAAGATCAATCTTTCATGAGTTTACAGTAATTTATTATGAAAGCTTTTGGCCATAGTATTCTTAATGATTTGATGTCTCAACTGAAGGCTTTTCATGCCAGAAACCATCTTGTTTGCATCGCATCATGCACATGGAAATCTGCTTCTAACAGATTTCTGTGCTCTCCAGTACACCTACAAGTGTAGGTGTTATCAGGCTTTCTTCTGTAAACTGTCTCTGCACTGTGCCAACAGCAGCATATGAGAGTAAGGTTGCCTGATAAGGCTGGGCATCATAACAAGACAGTAGTGATATAGACACCCTATTCCATCTCCATGCCATTCTTTCAGAACAACTGGGTTTCACACTGAGCATCACTGTGACTCTAGCTTCAGTGCAAGCCACCCCTCAGCCCAAGTCCCTGCCACTCTGCATTTTAGAAGGGCTCTTGCAAATCTGTGGCAATGAATAAACCCAAACCAGAATACATAAGAAAACCCTCACATTTCTCTGACTGTTGTTGAATAGAATGTTTGTGCTGAACAGAAGAATGAAGAAGGTGGAAACAGGCTTCTGTTTCTCCTTTCCCAACAGCCAAGGCAGCTACTGTCTGGCCCCTTTCAGTGCTTCCCATCCTCAAGCCAGAACTTGCTAGTTCCAATTGCAAGTGTTAAGTGACAGCATATGAATCTGGGCTAAGTTTTTGTTTGGTTGACTCGTGCTTAAAACTGCTATTAATTGTTGACAGGGATGGAATAATATTACTTCTAACAAATACAACTGCCATTACTTTAGGAACTTTTGCAAGTCTCCAACAAAGAAAGTATGGAAGAATCTAGAGTATTAAAAACTAGGTGAAGAAAATTAGATTCATCTTGGAAAATTCAAACTCAGAATATCTGATGAAAATACACCAAAGATAGAGAAGCAATAGGTGAAAGAAACACAGACAACGGGAAGGTAACATGGAAACTAGGATAGTGCTTCTATTTATATACACATACCTATTATCACAGAGAAAAGGTTCTTCTACTTTCTCTGCACTTTAGGAGAATTAGAATAATATCCATTCTTTGCACTCTGTCTTTCATAAGTTGTTTTGAAAGTTTGTTGAATGACTTTTCATAAGTTGTTCATAAGTTGTGATCCTTGCATGGAAAAATGCTAGTAAAACACAAGGTATATGTCATTACTCTTCTACCTTTCCCAAGTTTAGATACGTTCTGCACAAAGAATGTATTAAGGATTAACTAAAGTGTCATACAAGAGAAGACTGGAAACTGCATGTGAAATCTAAACCACTTAAATTTGTGGGAACTTTACTGCTGGCCGCAGCGGGAATACGGTTTTACCCTACACATGCATTTCTACCAGAACAGTTATCGGTATTCTGAAGACTATAAACTCTCTACTGCAAGAGGGAATGATTCAGTGTGGTACAAAGGGGTGCAGGCACGAGGAATTGTGTGTGATTAAAAAAAAGAACAAAACAAAATCCACAAAAAAACCCCACCCCAACAAACAAACCCTACCAAAAACCAACAACAACAAAACAAACAACCAGAAAAGGAACTGTGCTTCAGGATAATCTCCCTGATAGTGGGAACATGCATTCTGAAGAAAGACCCCAAAAAAATCCAGGAAAAGTGGTTCCTTTTGAAATTCACAGCAAAACTGGGTAGCATACTGAAAACAGTCCTGAGCTGGCCACACAGAGAGTGCAATACTTCTAATTTCCATGATTTCATTACATTCAGGGCAGCTGCCAGCATATTTAAGAATGTCTTGTATAACATTCCTGATGTCAGTTCCAAGAAGGAGCATTTGCCTAGCATTTTCATTAGAGAAGTGTATCAACCAATTTTCTGTAATCAAAAAGGCATTCTATTAAAAATGACTGAGAGGAAGCAGACTGGAAGGTGACTGAATAAAGGGTAAAAGTCAAAGCAGTGGTAAAGAAATGCGCTGTATGCTAAGAAACATGTTCATGGCTGCAGCAAGAAACCAGCTGCTTTCATATCTTTAATTTACAGACGCAAGTTCATAACAACAACCGCCACCTGAAAATTAATTATTCCATCCAGAATATATTGATATTTTAAGTCACAGCTGCTGAATATATGATCTGTTTTACCTGTTCCTGTCCAAGTAAGGTTTTTCTTTAATGGATGGAAACAGTGCACTGCAGTAGTCCTACCCCCGCCCCGATTTTTCCTAAATCTTTAAAACTGATTATTGATATTCTCTCTTCATTGCAGTTTGATGCTGTATATATAATGTAGCTAAGACACTCTCAGCTGTACATAGCGTGCCTTTTGCCAGAGGACTGCTGAAACCACATGATGGCTTCAAACAGTGAGGTCTTCTTACTGAGAGGAACCGCAAGTAAATGACAATACATTACTTTTGTGTATTTACAACAAAGCAAGCAGCAGAAAAAGAACATTTCCTGGGTAGCTTGGAAGCTGTCCTTTTCCCTCACAGAGGGTGACTTTGCCACTCTCTTCCATGCTTTCAGCATCTTCTGACTTTGTACTGCTGTTGCCTTTACTGAGCCACCCACAGGCTGCCCCTTTCAGCTACTATGCTTTCATTAGCAGCTCCAAGCAGAGGTTATGATCTGGCCTTCCCTTATACGCATGATCTGTCTCACTTTATACCCATGTAAAAGAAAGATATAGCTTAGCTAAATTTGATTCAAAAGTATTTAACTCCCTGGATTAGCTTAAACAATCATCTATTCAGATTCTTCTTTGTGGTTGCAGACATTGTATAGTACAGGCCATTAGCTAAAATCTACTGAATCCACATATTGCTCCACAGATATTTACATAGCTTTAACAATCCCAGACATCCAGAATCTATGTTAGGCTCTCTCCCTGTCTTCTTCAATCAAGAAGCTTATTTGGAACTAAGAGACTGAAAGGAATGATGTGAAAACTCTGA